AATACAAACGTCCAACAGGCACCTGAAAAGATGCTCCACATTGCTAAGAATCAGGGAAATGCAAGTCAAAGCCACAATGAGATATCACTTCACACCAGTTAGAATGGCCACTATCCAAAACACAAGGAATAGGCAAGGATGTGGAAAAGTGGGAATGCTCCTATACTGCCGACGGAATGTAAATTGGTACAACCACTGTGGAAAGCAGTATTACGGTTCCTTAAAAACTAAAAATAGAACTACTATATGACCCAGTAATTCCACTTCTAGGAATTTACCAGAAGAAGAAAAACAAAATCCCTGATCTGAGAAGATATATGCACCCTTATGTTTATTGCCACATTATTTACAGTTGCCAAGATATGGGAACAACCTAAGTGTCCATCAGTAGATGAATGGATAAAGATGTGGTACATATGCACAATGGAATATTATTCAGCCACAGAACTAAAAGAAATCCTGCCATTTGCAACAATATGGATGGATCTAGAGAGTATTATGCTCAATGAAATAAGCCAGGCATAGAAAGACAAATACCATATGATTTAACTTATTTGTGGACTATAAAACTAAAGCAAAACAGAATGAACAAAATAACAGTAGATGCATAGACACTGAGAAGTGACTGGTGGTTACCATGGTGGTGGGGGTGGGGAGAGTGGGTAGGTAGGGTGAGGGGGATAAAGGGGCACAAAAAATTCCCAATCATAACATAAGTTGGTCAGGGGGATAGTAGTACAGCATGGAAAATATAGTCAATGATTCTATAATATCTTTTTATATTGACAGATAGTAACCAGACTAGTGGGGGTGAGGGTTTAATAATATGGGTAACTGCTGAACAACTGTATTGTACATTTGAAGCCAATATAAGATTGTATATCAATGATACTTCAATAAAAATACATTTATAAAAGGAATATGGAAACGAAGAAAAAAATGCAATGTGTAGACATTGCTTGGAGTCCAATTCAAACAAACCAACTACAAAAAAGTTATTCATGAGACAATTGGGGAAATCTGACAATGGACTGTTTGATGACGTTAAGGAATTTTACTTATTGTATTATTGGTTTTGGTTTGGTAAAATGTTGTATTCTACAGATAATTTCAGAGATAAATAGGAAAGTAATTGAAGATGAGATGATGCATTTTGGGGGATTTTCTATAAAACAATCTAATGGTGAGGAGGAATGCAAAGGTTAGTTGGAGGAAGGAAGGTTGGCAATTTGTTGATTGTGGAAGCTGGATAATATATACATGGAGGGAAGGGCATCATTATGCTATTCTCTCTATATTTGTCTTGATAGATAAAGCTCCATCTTTAACTTTTTCTTAATAAAAAGTTTTTAAAATAAAACCCGTCAGACATCTAAACCCTACCGCAGGGATTCTAATTCAATTAGTCTAGGATGGGACACTGAGATGTTTCTAAATCTCCAGGTAATTCTAGAGTGTAGCTAGCTTTAAGAACTACCATTCTAGGCTGAATTTCTTGAGGACAAGAATTATATCATGTTCATTTTTGTTTCCCAAGAACATACTACAGTACTGGGCACATAGTATGTTCTCAATAAAGTTGAATGTTTAATGAAAAAAAAGAACTGTATTGTCTTTCAATTGGGTTTTCCCCTCTAGATAACGTGTCATTTTCTTTATTTGTTTTTAAGATTTTTTTCATAGTCTTCAGTTTTCAGAAATTTAATTATAGTGTTGTTGCTGTGGATTTATTTGGGTTTATGCTGTCTGGGTTCCTTGAATCTGCAGGATTTCACTATTTTTTGCATATTTCCCTGTCTTGGGGAATAGGACTAGTCCTGCTTCCTATCCCCTTGCTTTCTCTCTTCCCTGCCAGGTGGGTGTGGACGTTCAGTTCCCTGCTGATACCAGGAGTGAGGTAAAGTTGGAGTGCTGACTAGCTCTGACCCTAGCTGTTTTGCTCAGCCTCACTGGTGCTGGGAGTGGGTGGAAGATCAACTCCTCACTGAGCACTGACACTGGTGAGGAGGAGGCGGCGGATAGAGCGGAGTGGTAAACAGCTTTTCCTTGAACCCTCCCATTAAGTTTCTTTGTTGTCAGTTGTGAGTGGAGGCTCAGCGCACCACCGAGCACACCGACAGGACACCTTCAGGGGAATCAGGTTGTAACACTTGCTTTTGCCTTGCTGAAAACAGATCAGCTCCCCACTTCACCTCACTGAAACAGTGAGGGTGAGGAGAAATGGGGTGGTTTTCCTGTTAGTGTTTGGCTGGAGTAGGGTGAATGTTGCCCAAAAAGTTTTCTGTTGAGGCTTTCCTTTCTTCTCTTTTCTATAGGGCATTATTAGATTTTGATGTTTACTTGGTCCCAGGATAAAGGAGACAGATGTAGTAGTTAGCTCTTGTTTACTATGAATACAAGTTCTATGGATACATTGTTCATTCTACTCCAGGAGAGATTAGAATGACCTATTCTGGTCCTTGCTAGTCTTTTCTGGCTGCTGTGTCTGAACAGCTATAGAGCTGCCCTTTTCAGCAGATCTTACCACTGATCACAGGCTGAATTCCAGAATCTGTCGTAGCTGCTCTGTGTCTTTACCCATGGTGTCCAACTTCCACACATGTCCACAGCCATATCCCACCATTTTTGATGGTGCAAAGAAATGATCTTTTAAAAAAATCTCTATCATTAGCAGAACCTTTCACTCAACCCCTGACATAGTCCCAATCTCTGAGAAGTGAGTAAGAACACAGAATATGAATTCAGAATACTTGGGTTCAAATCCTGCATCCATCACTTACTAATTCATTGACTTTAGGCAAAATCATAACTTCTCCAAGCCTCATTTTCCTCATCTACAAACTCTATCACTATAACAACAATAGATTAAACAAGGTAATATTTGTAATGTTGCTACAACAATGCTTGTTAGTATAATAATATAGTAAAAGTGTAAGGTTATATGGTAAAATATAATAAGTTCTATATACTTAATAGATGTAATTCCTCTGCCTAGGCCACACTCTGCTTTGACCTTAAGCTGATCATAAGCCTCTCTAATTGCTAAGGCTTTCACAATATTCATCTGGATAGGGGTCCATTTTCAGGGAAACCCTGAAGTACACTGAGGATGTTAATCTCCCACTGGCAACACACCCTGACCAGACCTGGGGGAGAAGAGCCTAGACCGCCGTTTCTCAAAGAGTGGTCTACAGACCATCCACATCAAACCTTTAGGAATAGGATCAGGGTGTATGTCTATTTCGTAAGCTGCCCCTCTGTTCTAAAATACACTTAAGTTTGTGAACCACTTCCCTACATGCTTTGTGCCTTTTCACATACATTGCCTCTTTATGAAATGTCCACTCCCCCACCACCACCTGTGGAAAGAAAATACAGCCTCCTCCCTGAAGCCTTCCCTAATTTCATGTTCACCACCACCAGCAGATGCAACCTCTTCTGTTGCTATGGGATGAGTGAGATAGAGAATCTGAACTGGGGTGCAGGAGAGTGTTGGGAGCACTGGAATGCACCACATGGACTGCAGTGGTGGAAAGTGCCCATGGTTTGTACTTAGAATTTGTGCACTTGAGATGACTTTGCAGAAAGGGTGGGGAAGGGGGGTAGAAAAATCAGCAAACAGGGCATGGTAAGGGGGGAAGAAACAGCAATGAAGTAGCTCCCATGGACTCTACTGATTGGTCAAAAAGTAAACTCATCTCCCAGGCACCTACCCACTGCATCAGGTGCAGTTTTTGTCATGAGGAGGGGTGCGTGTGCAGAACTGGTATCAACCACCAGTCTCACAACCCCAGCTATCACTGTTTAACAGCCTCAGCATGAACTTGCCACTGCATTGGCTGCTCTGAAGCTGGAGAGTACAGTATGAAACCCAACTCCTCCGACTAAGCCAGTATTCTGAACCCTTACATTCTCATCATTGTATCCGTGTGGTTGTCTCCTTCTGGAAAGTCCTTTATCTCCATCTCTGATTGTGAAAATCTTGCACATCCCTCAGAACCCCTCAGTAAAGCCTCTGGGGAGGATGCCCAGGCACCTGAGCCTCTGGGACTGAGGGTGGGGACAGAACCTATGAGCAGGGTGGGAGGTATCCCTCCCCTTGACTCTTCCTTTACATCTCCTTAGGGCTCTGAGGTACAATGGAAGCCAACACCTCCAAGGAACCTCCCTTCCTTGCAACAGCGCTTCTGCCACATTCTCAAGGCTGTGCCTGACCATGGAGTCCTGGACATCATCCAGGCCATAAAGCGTGGCTCCCCGATCTGCTTTTGTAACACATCCCTGAGGGCACGCCAGTGCAGGAGCTCAGAGACTTATACTTGAGATGAAAAATAATTTTTTGTGTGTGTGTGAAACTGTTAAGATACCCAGAGAAGAGTGGCCTCATTAGGAATCCAGGTAGGAGGGTCTCTCTGCAGTTATCCAAAACTCCCATTCCCCACTAAAGTCAATGTCTAATCTTGGCCAAGTATCTCCCTGCATCATACCAAGTGCTGACTTGTTTGTTCATACAGACAACTGTCCTAGCTCCTTCTAGCCTCGTGCCAAACTGTATTTTATGCCTTAATTTTTATATAAGTAGGCATTTTAGGAAGAAAGCTTGTTGGTGCTGTCCTGAGTGTGAAGAAATATCACGTTTCACTTAGTGGGGCTCCAGGCCAGGCACATGTGGCCCTCCGGGGATTCTTGAGCACAGACCCTCAGCCCACCCCAGCCCACCCCAGCCCAGCCCAAGTGGTCCGCCCGCCGCTGTCGGCTGTACGCTCCCTCCCACCGCGCCTGCCTGCTCCCAGCCCACGCCTCCCGCTGCCTCCGCCCCTCGCTCAGCTCAAATAACCCCGCGCGGTCCGGGTCCCACCCGCCTTTCGGCTCCCGCTGCCCCGCCAGACGCACTTCCCGCCCTCGCCTACACTCGCGCTACCGCTGAGCTCCGCTCCCTCCGGCCCGCGAGCCTCGTCAGCTCTCGCCCTCGCCGCCGCTGACTCTCGTCGCCGTCCACCATGGCCCAACAGCAAACAGGTAGCATGGGAAAAGCGCTCACGCCCGCGCCCCAGGAGGGCGCCTCGAGCTCGTCGTCGCAGGATTCAGCGGCGGCGGACGGAGAGGAGCCGCTGGTGTCCAAGAAGAAGCTGCGCTCGCTAGTGCACTATCTGAAGCGCCGCGAGGTGGGTGCGGACCCCGAGGGCTCCAAGGGCCTGCTGCGCTCCTACGCGGCGCAGAAGCTGCCCGAGCTGCTGAGGGAGCGCGAGCTGACCCTGGGCACCCTCAACAAGGTGTTCGCGTCGCAGTGGTTGAACGACAGGCAGGTGGTGTGCGGCACCAAGTGCAACACGCTCTGCGTGGTGGACGTGCAGTCAAGCCAGGTGACGCGCATCCCGCTGATGCGGGACCAGGGGCCGGGGCTGGCGCGCGCCCAGCCGAGTTGCGGTATCCATGCCATCGAGCTGAACCCTTCCAAGACACTTCTGGCCACCGGGGGCGAGAACCCCAACAGCCTGGCTGTCTACCGGCTGCCCACCCTGGACCCCATGTGCCTGGGAGACCGCTTCGGCCACCAGGACTGTATCTTCGCCATCGCCTGGATAAGCGACACAGTGGTTGTAAGCAGTTCCCGCGACAGCACCGTGGCGCTGTGGCAGATGGACGCCGACGTGACCAGCGGCAGCGTCGCCAGGCACAACAACGCGGGGCTCCCAGTCTACGCCCAGATCCGCCCAAAGAACTTGGAGTCCATCCCCAGGGCCAATAGCAACACCAGCCGCCACAAGATGCGGGCCCTGGCCTTCAACAGTAATAACCAGGAGCTGGGAGCGGTGTCCCTGGACGGCTACTTCCACCTGTGGAAAGTTCGGAGCACCCTGTCCAGAGTGCTGTCCATCAGGCTGCCCTACTGCCATGAGAACGTGTGCCTGACTTACTGCGATGAGTTGTCGCTCTACGCGGTGGGCTCCCAGTCTCACGTCTCCTTCCTGGATCTGCGCATTGGTCGCCAGAACATCCGTCCCATGTGCTCGCGAGAGGGCGGTGCAGGCGTTCGCTCGCTCAGCTTCTATGAGCACCTCATCACGGTGGGCACGGGCCAAGGTGCCCTGCTCTTCTATGACGTCCGCGCCCAGAAGTTTCTGCAGGAGAGGGCCTCGGCCAGCGTGGACTCCCCTCCCCTGCACGCCGGGAGGAAGCTCAGGCTCACATGTGGCAGAGGTTGGCTCAACCATGATGACCTGTGGGTGAACTACTTCGGTGGAGCCAGCAACTTGCCCAACGCGCTCTACACCCACTGTTACAACTGGCCCGAGATGAAGCTCTTCGTGGCTGGGGGTCCTCTGCCCTCCGGCCTCCACGGGAACTATGCAGGCCTCTGGAGCTGAGGATGCTTCTGTGTTCTGGGAGCCCAGATTTACCTTCAGTCTCCTCCTCTTCCTTCTTCACGCTGTGTTTGTACTTTTAACTCTGCGGCCTTTTGCCTTCCAAGTAGAAAGAGCCCAACTTAACCTGTGCTTAGTATTTTAGGTGGACAGAGAGAGGCGTCTTTCAGGCAATCAAAACTTAGCTTTAATACTTTTCTACATTTCTCTAACACCATCTTTTTGAGTTCTCATACAAAGATTTTTGGCTAATTCTTAGTTGTGTTCCCTCCTTGAAGTATTTATGAATACTTTCTTTAATGCCACACAGTCATGGTTTAAGAGTCATGTGTATGTACCTTTTTTTTGCTTACCAGTATTGTAATAATATTTTTTGGTTAGTTTTCATTGCAGATAGATGGTATATTAAGAGTGTTTTTCCAAACAGTTTGCTGTGTTCTAGCCATAGTTCTATAGCATTGTTTCCAGTTGGAAAATACAGTCTAAGTTCTAGATTACCAATTTTTGGAAACATTCCATTTTCAATTGTAATTTTAGTGTTTATAGTTTGTAAGTTGTTTGTGCTAAACATGCTTTTCCAAAAATTGACTCTCTTTGGAAATAGGTTGTCATAGAATCTTGTTTTTTTGTTCCAGAATCTCAGAACACTTCAGCAGTGCAAGAGTTCTGTTGATTGAATGTTCAAAGTTAATCTGAAAACCTAACTATCTTTTTCTCCTTCAACTCTTTTAAGTTTTCATGAATTGTTCTTAAGTAGATAAAAGAATGTGTATTTTTTCACTTCCTGCCTTAGTACTGTCAAGACTTCAGAATATATTTTAATGTTTGTTGTTTAAGGAACTTGCACAGAGTTTCAGTGCCATCATTCAAAGCAGGGATTCTAATACAAAAATGTAGAATGTATGGCAGGCTGGGCAGAATGTATATTGATCCAGGATATAGACTGGGTATTTTGTGTTGCTGTTTTTAATACCAAATATTACATGTGAGCATACTAAAAATTTTCCAGTTCTGCTGGACAGTTAAGTCACAACAAAACACTACAAAGAAAAATGAGCCTAGTCCCTACCCCTTCTGAAAAAGATTTGTAAAGTTCAAATTAAGATTCTATTTTGTAAATTTCAAAGATTATTACTGAAAGTAGAATAAATATGCTATTAACAACTAGTGGTGTTATAACCCTCAATGTAATGTATGATTACCAAGAACACAAAAATTTTGCCTCAAGAAAATGAGCTGGAGATTAAAAACAAATGGGATTAGGTTGAAGAAAAGTGCTTTGGGGCTCACATAAATACAAATTGTGGATTGTTAGGAAACAGGCTGTATTTCTCCATATGTGAGAATATTGGAAATGAGAAGGGAGATTGGCCCTTCCTCAAAACTGGCCAGGTTATGCTGACCTTGGATAAGTATTATGGCATGTCTGTTTTTCCTTAAATGTTTTGGCACTCGGATGCTGCTGCCTTGGTGTGCGTGCACTACAAGCTGTTCAGTTGCAGATCTGAACCAAGTAATACAATAAACGGTACTAAAAAGTGAGTTAAGAAAAATATAGAAAAAAATAAGCTTTTGTTTACAGTTTGTTTTAAAGGTTTATATATTAACAAGTTTACATACTTGTTGTGCTTTAGCAGTAAAATGTATTTGTGTGCATGTATGTGTCTCCAACTCAGTTGTAAATGTCTTGAGCAGAGAATACAACTGTCATCTTTATATTCTCTCATTTTTGACTAATGCCTTGTACATCATAGGCAGTCAGTAAATATTTACTGAATGAATGTATTTGCCTCTGGAGACCTAAGTTCAAGGCTGTGAAAAATAACTAAATGCATAAGTACATCAATAAATAAAGATTTACTCTTAAATAGTATGGAATCCTGTTTTGTCTTTGCCCATTTCTTCTTCATTCCCAGGTCAGGCCATGGTGCTTATCCATTCATAAACTTCCCCATATGTGAAACCAGAAGATAAAAGAAAATTCACAAATTTTGGATGGCACTAGAACATAGTATTTTCACCTGCAAATACTTCGATTTGAAGATTCTTTAAAATATTTTATGAACTTTTTTTCAGAAATTAGTTTTTAAAGAACTTTATTTGTAGGCAGTTTGTCTTTTTATTTAAAAGTATATGTTTGTTAAAAACTTTTAAAGTTTCATAGGAACTTCATCCAAGTTTACTGCCTTCTTGTAAGTTACAGGGTATCTTTATGGTTAGTTGGTCATTGTTTCGGGACATTGGTAGAACATTTTTAGAGGAAATGACACTCTTCTATGTGGGGTGAGTTTTTAAAGAAATAGGACAATCTCCACTCTGATTTGTTCTGTGGCTTGATCCTTCATCACTGACTTACTCTTAATTTTCTCATAATTTAAAGTATATATTTTGATGCCAAATTATGTGGCTTGCCTTTAAAAGAAACTAACTTAGTTATGTATGGCTTACATTGTGAAGGAGTTTAATTATTTTGAAATATTTTCTGTTTTGGGACAAAGTGATCTTACAGAAGTGCAATTGTGTAAACAAACTGTGAGTGAAATAATTGAAAAAGTAACCATGCTAGTAGTTCAGGAAACCCATAGAGTTCACTTAAATATGCATGGGAATACATAGCTTTATTTACAAATTCCTATCACTCTTGCCTGAAAGACCTTAGCTACTGAAAACTACCCAAAAAATGTTAGTTCCATTTATCTCCAAATACATATTCACATATTCCTTCCCAAGCAGGTTGCTGACTTGAAAGTTTATGTTCCTTGTCTTTACTCTTTGGATGAGTTAATTTCTAATTTTTTTAAAAGGGGAGGGTTACAAAGAAAGGCTTTACTAATCAAGGATATCCACTGAAATAAATTGAGATGAGTGCTGTGCAAAAAAATGCATTTTTTAACTATAGCATTTATGATCAACAAAATTGAATCTTGTGGAGGTTGACTTTTATCAGTGCTGAACAAGTTGTCAAAAAATGTCCATTAATGCTCATTCAGAATGATTTTAGAAAGTAATTCACAAAGCCCTCCCGGATGTGTTACAGACAGCTTGCTAATCTCTACAAGTCTTATGTAACCCAACTACATTAAACGTGTGAGCTGCTCAGGGATGCAATTCAGTGAGAAGGACATGCACTCCTGTGAAAGAAAAGGCTGCATAGGCCACAGGTGTTTGCTTTAAGGGATTATTAGTTTAGGATCTGCTGAGAGGGCTGCCTAAAAGTATTTCCCACTACTGGCCTGCTGCAAACCCAGAGACACTTAGCATTGGAGTGTGGCATCAGCGAAAGGGCAATATGGTTACAGGAGGTTGCTATGAAATAGGCTTTTCCTTATAACTGTTAGGTGTTGTTTTGCACAGACAGTGGTGTTAGTTTTATGTGCCCTTCTCCCACCATTTTTTTTCTTTTAAAATCTCAGTGACATCCCAGAACAGAATAAGTACCTTTTCATGCTTCCATAGTGAATGTTTTGTTATTATCTTAATAGACCATTGATGAGATTGTAATGCAGTTAACTGTGTGTACCTAACTCCACTCCATTTGACTGTGAACTCTGTCCTCCCAACACCTAGCACACAGGCCTCAATTATTTTATCAGTTTTGTTGACCAGAACATGACCGAATGTAATCAGGATTAAGCTGATGAATGAAGAATATCCTGAAACTGTTCCCATGGTAGTGATCATGGCAATTATATGGAATAGTGCAGATAGGGCAGCAGAAATTTTGATAACAGTTTTATACTGGGTTGATGTTGGATCAGGGACAGTGGGATGAAATGGAATAAATACTATTTTAGAATCAGAAAAACCTGGGTTTGAATTCTAGATCTATTATTGGCTTATTGAATGCCATGGATGTGTTTCTTAACTTCTCTAAACCTGACCTTACATCACTAATTGTTCTATCCCCAGCATCTAGCACAGTACTTGATACAAGAGCACTATATTGATGCTAGTTCTCTTTGTCTCTAGATCCTATCAGTTCTGTCGTAGAGCATGTGTATTTTTCTACTTGACTATTAAAGTTTCACAGGAAATTTTTACATGCATTGCGGAAAGTTGGGCAAATAGAAAAGCAAAATATAAGAAAACAAAACAACCTCATTTCCATCAGCTGAAGATTATTACTGCTAACAACTCAGTGTTTATTTCTTCTGTAAATAAATGTACCCCTCTATGCAGTCGGTACTAAAATAAGAATATTTTGTACAGGTTGGTTTGTAATCTAGTTTTTCCAGTTAATGATTCTGTCTGTCCATGGCAGTACATATTCATCTTAAGTAATATTTGGGATTTTTTTAATATGTATAGGTTGAAACTCAAAGTGGAAGACTTGATGCACCACTCAGGAAATTGTTCCCATCAACAGAATTCATTAGAATGAGATACCAGACATTTAACCCCATACAACTAGTCCCACTTTATTCATAGTTTTGCTTTCCACAGGTTCAGTTACCCATGGTCAACCATGGTGTAGAAGCAGATGATCCTCCTTCTGATACATTACGAGAAGGTCATAATAGCCTAATGCTACATCACTGTGACTATGTCATTCGCCTCACTCCATCTCTTCACAGAGGCATTTTATGATTTCACATTATTAAAAGAAACATGAGTTATAGTACAGTAAAGTATTTTGAGAATGAGAGAGACTGTAATTTTACTACAGTATATTATAACTTGTCTTTATTAGCTATTTCTAATCTCTTACTGTGTCTAATTTATAAATTAAACTTTATCATACGCATGCATTTTTAGGAAAAATCATGGTATATATAAGGTTTAGAGCTATCTGTGGCTTCAGGCATCATTTTTATTTCTTCTTTCCTAATCCAGAGATATAGGGTTGATGTGGTCTTGGAACTTATCCCCTTGGACAAGGTAGTCTATTGTATGAGTTTTATAATTACTTAAGCTTAGAGTTAATCATAAACATTTATTGTATAGTGATGATCTGTCTAATGTTTGCTTAATTCAGTTAATTTTATGATATTGGAGCACATCAG